TTCTTCTATTTTTAGTTGTTTGGCTAATTTCTTTCTATTTATAGTAGAGACAGGGTCTCACTCTTGCTCAGGCTGGTTTCGAACTCCTGAGCTCAAACAATCCGCCCGCCTCGGCCTCCCAGAGTCCTATCAGTAGGGTAAAGTGCTTTTGACAGGTACCTGAACACAGATGTTCAAGATCACCCTTCAAGGATGTTTGTGGATGGGATTTATATAATGCCTGTTAAAAACACACTGGCATGGTGTAAGAGTTTGGACTCCATAAATGCTGAAGGTCTTACAACTCTGTGGTGCCATTTGAAAAGGATGAATTGACTTGCACGGTCCCTTTCATCTTAAGGTTCCATAATTCCTTTAAAAAAAAATTCCACAAAGTACCTCTATGATAGCACTCTACACAGAGAAAAGTGCTCAATAAAAGCTTTTGATCAGAAGTTTGAACTGATACTGTCTTACAGCTAGGAAATTCAAGGTTAAACAGTTCATTATAATGTTGTTAAATTTATAATTAGGGGCAAAGACTGGAGTACTGCTGAAGTGGCCAGTGTTATAAGCCAAATGACCTATCAGTCTATGACCCTACTGCCTTTCTATCTGAAATGGGGATACATCCTTTATTAGCAAACCACATTCTAAGAGAAGCAATATGAGTTTGCAGTTCAAATACCCATTACTTGTGTGATACTAAGTATCCCACATCATATATTTAGTCAAAATTGGTCATGGAATAAGTAGTGCCCCTTGGTTCTTGACAAAAGCAAATGAAAATCATCTCTGGAGCGAGTACTTTTATTCTAGGACTCAAAGTATCTCCAGAAAATATTTTAAGGTCGGTGTAATACGTATTAAGAAACAAATTAAGCACACAAGAAATCAAGGTGAGTGAGAACCAGCAAAATAGCAGACTATAGAAGCAGACCCACAATGTTTTCATATTTCAGAATGATTAGAGTTTTTTTTAAAAAAACTATGCTGTTAAAAAAATAAAAGACAGCATTGGAAAATATCTGCAGAGAACTACAGACTTTAGTGGTGACTACCTTTAAAATGACCAGATAGAATTTCCAGATAATAAAAAGTATAATGACCAAAATTTTACTTTATTTTATTTTTTTGAGACAGAGTCTCTGTCACCTGGGCTAGAGTGCCGTGGCATCAGCCTAGCTCACAGCAACCTCAAACTCCTGGGATCAAGTGATCCTCCTGCCTCAGCCTCCTGAGTAGCTGGGACAACAGGCGTACACCAGCACGCCTGGCTAATTTTTTCTATTTTTTAGTAGAGATGGGGTGTCGCTCTTGCTCAGGCTGGTCTCGAACTCCTGGGCTCAAGCGGTCCTCCCGCCTCAGCCTCCCAGAGTGCTAGGATTATAGGAGTGAGCCACTGCGCCCAGCTCAAAATTTTAAACTTTATGGGTTTGTAGTAGACTGGCTGCAGCCAAAGAGAAAAATGGATACCCAGACAATAGGGCAGAAGGAATTATTAAGAATGAAGCACAGAAAGATTAAAAAGGGGGAAAACTAGGGAAGGCCTGTTCATAAAAATGGAGATTGAGAAAGTCTAACATTTATCTAATAGAGTTCTGTAAGCAGAATAGAGAGGAAATGGAGAAGAGGCACTATTTGTTGAAATCATGACTGAGAAGATTCCAGAGCTGATTAAACACTCTAAGCCACATTTTTAAGAAGCCCAGTGAATCCTAAGCAGTCTAAATAAAACCCTAGAAACACAGCACAAGACAGGAAAAGGACAGATTACCTTTCTAGGAGCAACAGTCATCTTTACTACTGACTTTTCAACAGTAGCAACAAAGTGAGATAAAGGTGGAATAATATTTTGGTATGCTAAAACAAAATAAAAACAAACAAAACCCAAAAACCTTTCAATCTAAAATTTTTATACCTAATGAAGATAGTTATCAAGAATATGGATTTAAAAAAAGAGGTATTTTCAGACAAACAAAATCCCAAGAAATTTGCCACCAAAAGCTAAAGGAAATTCTAAGGGATATACTTCAGGCAGAACTCATTGTAGATGGAAGATTTGAGAAGGAAGAAGCCATGAAGGTGGGGGGAGTGGTCAATATATGGGCCAATCTATCAAACAATACAAAAAATTAAAATGTAATATTGTAGGGTTAAAAAAGATAGAATTAAAATGTATGACCACAGTAACATATAAGTCAAATGATGGGTAAATATATTTTGAGTTTTCTTAGATCATTGTACTGTTTAGACTTTGAAAGAGGCAAACAAAATCAACAGGACACCATAAAACAGTCCTAGGCCAGGACGTTTGGATTCTATTATCAGCTTTGCTGCCAGATGCATGGCCTTTGACAAGCTACTTCTCTGATCTATATCTCAGTTTTCTTGTCTGTAAAATGAGGCTTTGGAACCAGATGAATTTTAAAGCTCCTCATTATGAGTCTATGAGAAGTAGATTCTCTAGAAAAAAAAAATCAATAGTTCCTGAGTTGTTGGGGTGTTTTTTCTTCCTTTGAAATTTTATCAATAAACACATGCATTTCACTTCTGGCTAACTTTTGTTTATCTGTTCAAAAAATAGGAGCTAAATATAGTCTTGCTCAGGTGTATATTTTGCTTTGCTTTTCTCATTTGTTGGTTTTGTTTTGTTTTGTTTTGTTGTCATCTAGTAGCCAAAAAGAGTAATGGCAGTTTACTAAAGCCTTAGGGGTAGACAGCTCTTATGGATACTGGGGAGACATTTGCAGAAGCAAGCTACGAAAAGCCCGCCTTGCTGTGCAAATACTGTTATTTCTTTCTTTTTTTTTTTTTTAACTTATGACCTGGACTGACATATGCCTCCTTTATTTTCTCACCTTCTCTTCTTGTATCCTTTTGCCCTCCTTCTCTCACCCTCCTGTCTTTGCAGGCTAATAATAAGCCCGAGATTGAAGCGGCCCTCTTCCTAGACTGGATGAGACTGGAGCCCCAGTCCATGGTGTGGCTGCCCGTCCTGCATAGAGTGGCTGCTGCAGAAACTGCCAAGCATCAGGCCAAGTGTAACATCTGCAAGGAGTGCCCAATCATTGGATTCAGGTATTAGGAACAAAAAAAAGTCATTTTTTCCCTTATCATCTCTCACCTTTCTGTGACTTGATCTTTTATCTCCTGTGCCAGTTGCTGTTAGTTTGTTCTTCTCCAAATTGGAAGAGAAGGTTATGGGCTGGAGCATCGATCACTGCTGTCACTCCCCTCATCACTGGGTTATTTTGGTGGATCTGACTCATTAGGCTGGTGTCCCTTTCCAGTAGGCAGATGTCCCTTTACACCTTCACTCTTTAGCTCTTCAGAGCCACATTTTTGGTTGAACGAGACGGAGTGCCTGTCACCATGGAGGTATTACAGATTTCACTGTACCTCCTCCTTCTTGGAACCAAAAACCAAAATTTCCCCATCTCTTTCTTTTTTCGTGGTCTTTTCTGTTTATAGAAACTGTCTAAGAATCAGTTATAAAACTAAGAGATGATTCTGTTCTGCGAGGAGCCATCATGGTAGCTCAGTCTCTTATTCACTTCACACCGCTTCTTTTTCCCCTTAAGTAACAAGAATTGTTTTTGGCATTCTAGAACTTCCTTCTTTATCTGTGAATCTGATTATACTCTTCACATAGTATCCTAATGAACTTCTAAGGGAATAAAAAGTATGCCAGTAAATGAAAGATTCACAAAGCAGCTTAAAAAGAAAAGAAAACATTCCTTATAAATTTAAAAGTGAAAGAGATAGGAAATATAGCAGATTATTATTTTGATATTCTTAAAATGTCATGGAAAACAATTGGCTCTTAAATCTTTAGCCTCGTCGACCTGTTTGGGGAGACAGAATATTTTAAAATAAATTAATCTTATTTAACAATAATCCTAAATCCAAATTCTGAAACCATGATGTATTTAAACTTGAGGATCAACATCAAGATTTCCATAGTGATGAATAAGCCACAAAGTTGTAAGCCGGCTATATGGACTATGCCTGTGCTGAACCCACTTAGCAGCTAAGTGAATACTCTTTTCCAGTTATGCTTAGACTTGTTTCATTACTTTATTTTCTAATAACTACTTTATACTATTGTTGTGCCTTTTGTTCATGGTGCTCTTCTACTGTTAATGTTTATCTTTCCATACTTTATACTGTTTACGAAGAGACTTCACCAAAACCTTTATGAGTTTCTAAAGCCTAGATAGAGAATAATGAGTAGGCAGTGCTTACAAGGGACACCTTCTTTCCTTCCTGGTTTTTGGCAGGTAAGAATGTTGCCATTGGGGGTGGGGGAAGCCACAGATAACTGTATTACATTTCTAACCTTTCTTTTCTCAGCTTCCTCAGCTTAGTGGGATTTGTATACAGGGGAAATTTTTATAAAATGAAAAAGGAAAATGCTTTGGAGGATCTAAGAGAGCATTGTCACCTTCAGTTCTTTTGCCCTTATCAAATCATATTATTTTAGGACTCAGCACTTCTCTTTCCTGCTTTCCCCCTCTCGAAAGATGGTTGGGATCTAAAAACGTAGCTTTTCTTCCCACTTCCCCATATGTGACATAAGAATTATGTTTATTTGAATTGGCTACAGTTCTTATCTGAGAAAGTAAAAGGAAGGGGGAGTAGGAAACAAAGAGTATAGTATTCTGAGAGTGGGGGGGAAATGTACCAACTAGCGTTTACAGATTATGAATTCTTTCATCTAATCCAAATTGTATCTTTTCTTGGGGCTTCACTTATCATTTGTGGATTATGTGGTAAGGGATTTCTGAAAAGAGAAAGAGATAAAAGAGATCATGCAAGGGACTATTTGAAGTTGAATCATGTCAGTCAATCAGAAAATGTAATTAAAGCAAGACTTATGTTAATTGAGAGTTCTTTAGTTTCTTTTGTCTTATGAAATTGCTTTATCTTTATAAGTTTTTGAAAATAATTGCTTCAGAAAACTTGTGTCCCTATGATGGGTAAAGGGGCATCAATCTATCTCTCCTGGAAGTTCTTTTAAATTTGAGTATTTGGTCTTCAAAACACTGGAAGTTCGCCAGTACCTTCCTACTTAATCTCAAAGAGTTCCTAGTGGAGTTTAAATAAAAGCTGAGTTTTTCTTCCCTCCTTCCATATGTTTATAGGATAATCTTTCTGCCAAAATGTTTTCATACTGTAGGGGAGGCACCAGAGAAATCTGGAGGTAGGAAGTTAATCACTTAACCTTGTGGGACTAATGAATATTGCATTCTGTTTCTAGAATTAAGACAATGCGGTAGAAGGTTTATTAAAGAGTGCTCTTTGGGAATTTAATTTGAAGAAATACGTATGTGTTTGTTTTTGTTTCTTTACTAGGTACAGAAGTCTGAAGCACTTTAATTATGACATCTGCCAAAGCTGCTTCTTTTCTGGTCGAGTTGCGAAAGGTCATAAAATGCACTATCCCATGGTGGAATATTGCACTCCGGTAAGTTAGATGCCTTCCTGACATGAGAGTTAGTTCACCTGGGATAAATTTCAGTTTGTACGATATGCAGATCATGTGTAATGCTGTGATTTGTAAGTTCCTCAGATGTTCCCCAGCTAAAGTGACTCTAAACTGTAGGCTCCAGGATTTACCTTAGCCCTGGTGCCTAGGGGGGGTGCCTGGCACACATGGAACGTGAGAGACCCTCAATAAATATTGTCGCATGAATAAATGGGGTTTTCTTCTCTTTGCATGGTTGTAGGGAAGACGTTTTCACACTTATTTTGCGCAGCCCTAGAGGTTGTATGAGGAGGTCTATGGCCACGAGTCATGTTGGGTATGAGGGATGGTATGTGGGTTCCCCCAAATTCATAACTTACCACTTTTAATCAATGTTGCTCACCTTTTATCTGGCTTATATACTAACAACATTTTTAAAATCTGTTTTATATACTGACGCCAACTAAATGCTGGGTGTTTACCTTTTAAACTACTCTGTGTGAAATAGGTATTATTATTTTTATCCCCTTGTTATAGATGAGGACTCTGAGGTCCTGAGGTTAAATAATTTCCCCAAGTTTCTATAAGTAAGAGGTGGAGGCTTCTCCTACAATGTTGTTTTAGGAAAATGTTCAATGGCTAGTAGAACTTTGAAAAATCACTGGTGAAATGGCAAGGGCATAGACTGGGTGGGCAGACAGACCTGAGTGTAAATCTTATGTTCTCTAAACTCTAGTTGCTTGCTATTTAAAGTATGACCTGTCACCAGCAATATTGGCATTACCTGGGAGCTTATTAGTGAAACCTGCATTTTAGCAAGCTCTGCAGGTGGTTCCCTTACACATCCAAGTATGAGACGCTCTACTTCAGAGCATTTTTCTCTTCCAGCATCAAAGTGGTCCTCCCATATACTTAATTGTCCTTCTCACTGTTATTCCTTTGACAAAGATCGTGATGTAGAATGTACCATGCCTTGAATAGACTGATATTTAGTGGGTGAAGTATGATGTCACTGTGTACTAACTAGTTTGTAAGATACCATAACGTGCGATAAAACTTAAGGTCAACTTTTTGACCTTAAGACTTCTATAAACTACCATTTATTGAGTAGCCCTGTAGCTTGTCTACTTCATTTATTTATTATAACAACTTGTTGAGGTATTATTGCCCCCATTCAACAGACCATCAGAGCCTCAGAGAGGTAAATAACTCACCCATGTTAGTAAATGCCAGACCTGGTTTCAATGCCCATTTGTCTGATTCAAAAGCCTTTGCTCGCAACCCCCACACTCTCCTTAATTACAAAATAAGTGCCATGTGGCAGGAGACTGTAGTGATCATTTGTTTTGAAATCGTACTCTCCTGAATCTGATCTCACCGTAACTTCCCTTTCAGACTACATCAGGAGAAGACGTTCGAGACTTTGCCAAGGTACTAAAAAACAAATTTCGAACCAAAAGGTATTTTGCGAAGCATCCCCGAATGGGCTACCTGCCAGTGCAGACTGTCTTAGAGGGGGACAACATGGAAACGTGAGTAGTGGCAAAAGCAAAACAGACTCTCCTTCAATGTGTACTTGAACTCCTCTCAGCTGAACACCCTCCTTCACTCCTAAATGCAAACAGTCTCTTCTATTTCTTTCTTGTTATTTACTTTAGCTGAAAAGAGAAAAACAAGCTGATGTTCAATTGCCATTTTCCCATGTCTCTTGACAATTACTTTTTCCAAAAGTTAAGCTTTATCACACGGGGGTGGGGAAAAACACATTACAGACACTAATTGCTTTACAAAGCTTTTAAGAAATACGGGACTGTTTACAAATGAGTGATTCCAGTATTTCATTTTGATTTTCCTCCCTCACAAATCAGTAGATGTGTGTCTTTTTTGTATCTGATTGTGTGGTCATGTCTAGTCATTTTTTTCTACTTGGGAGAAAAATGTAGTCACAGGAAATTACTTCACAGTAAGTAGTAATGATTCTCACGATCAAACGGATGATGTTTTCACCTCTTTTAAACCTACTACTCTTTCTCTTTTCTGATGGCAATCACGCAACTGTTTGTTTTTCTTTTAATTCACTTTGCATCTTTGTTTGGCTGTTGCTTTCCATGGTTCATACTCAATTGGTTGGATTTTATTTATTTTGGCTTCTCAATAAATTTTTTTGTGGCTGAGTTTGCCTGTGTCTCTCTTCACCACCTCATTTTTTGTTTTGCAGTCCCGTTACTCTGATCAACTTCTGGCCGGTAGATTCTGCGTGAGTACTTTGCTGAAGGGTGCTGCTACCACCAACACATTTGCTCGCTTGATTTTTTAAAAAAAATTTGTTTTGTTTATTTGTTTTGTTTTGCTTTCTTTTCTTTTGATGACATATTCATTTCCCTTCCTTCATTTCAATTTTTTTTCCTTCTCTTGATGAGACTTTGAGAGTCCCATCTGCCACGGATCAGGAGAATCAGAGTGGGGTTTTCAGGTCCTCCACCTGGTGAAATCCTAACCAGCAGAAATCCTGGTCTGATTTAAAATTAAAATCAAAGAAATTATAGGGGTTTTAGTTGTATTCCTGGGAGACGTGTTTATGTATTTCTTCAGATAAAATCAAGGAAGAGCCTCCTGATTGTATAATAGCCTTCTTTAGCCATATTTCCTGAGATTCAATGCTTTTAAGACCTTCAAAAGGATGATGGTTTATTTCTTAGGGCTTGTTATAAGTGGACTATTAAAAATCAACAGAATTTGTATGATGTTGAATTTGGTTGAATAATTTCAATGAGGTGTGCGGACTTTTTTTTAATCAGTTTATGCTATGCTGTTTGACGAATCTTTATATACTGGCTTTCTAAATTTTGAATTAAACTCACTTTGTTTTCCTCTACAAACTAACTATTCAGTCATAAACAGTTACACATCTACTCTAGGAGAAAAGTGTACTGTAGTCTTTGTTATTACTATTTGTGTGTATTAACAATACTAATATTAGATACCAACGGATGACTGATTTATTTCAGAGTTTATAATGTTAGAAAACCCTTTTTGGGGCCTCTAATATATAAGTAAACAAAGTGCCTGTTTGAAAATTATGTTATGCATGGTTTTTATAACAAATTTTTGGTATTTCAAAGTATAGTTTATTAAAATATTTATTTAAAGTCAGATGGCTCTATTATACATAAAGGGGAAATGACCAATTTGGAAGATGGGCTTATATGTAAGAATTCAATTTATTTTCATTGGGTCTTTTTTATTGTTCCACCATGTGATTTAATTTAAACTAGATCCTTTTTTAAAACCCTGTAGTAATAAATGCAAACTATTAATTGAGGTTTAAGGCTTTATTGGCCTAAAGGAAGTGGAAGGCTTCCCTTTCTTCTTTAAACTACATTATTCCCCTTAATTTTGAGATATGGTAGCTGTAAGTAGTGAATTACTTGATTTCTTTAATCACCATGCTTAAACAACTTTGGAGTTGTTTATATATTCAATTATGTTCCCTGGCTATTGGTAATTGTTTTTCCTGACCCAGGTAGTCTGTTTATAGAAGTTTCATAAATAAGAAAGTTTTTAACAATTGATATACTGAAGTTCTCAGCTTTATTGGATCCTGATAAGTGAATGGATTCATTGTGTGTTAAAATAAGTTTAACCAAGTAAGAAATCTAAAAGACAAATATGCCAAAGAACAATTTTTTAGAATGCGTGGATAAAGGTAGCACAAAAATAGTAGGCATAGAGTAACAAACAGTTCCTCGAAAAGAAAGAAGAAACTACACATACGCTAATGAAAAAAATTATAACTATCAGTTTAAATTAACTTATTTTAAGTAGAAGATGTTTGTCTTCCTTAAACTTTGAAGCACTTTAAAATTAATAATATACTTTATTAAAATATCTTCTCTAACAGCTGAAACACACGCCCAGTTTGCATTTCTATGAAAAGTTTGTTAGATTATTCAAAAATAGTGTGAAATTCTAATTTTGAGGAAGAAAATAAATTCAGCAGATTAAAGTCTGTGTTTTCTTTAATACCAATACTTTTATTAAAGTCTTTACTCATAGGATTATAAATAATATATAAAATACATTGTAAAGCTATCCTATTCAGGCATAAGAGCCAGGTCCTAATGGGTTTTATTTTGCAAGAATTCTATCTGAGCTTAACAAATCCTATGATAATGACAGTATTTAATCCATTTAATATGGATCACAGAATTTGAAAGTTTCCTGAGATACAGATTTTTTGGTTTTCCTTAGATAAAACCCTTATTTGCCTGTGTTTATCATAGTATCTTAAACTAAATCTAGCATAGGCCTTTTACATTGTTTGTCCATAAGTAGGACAGTCAAATAATATTCTTTGAAATATTCTGCATTGAAACCTCAATGAATGTAAACTTATTCATGGAATTTTCACAGGAGAGAACATGGTGGTGGTTTGGATGGAATTGGCTGAGTGGGTCATTAAGTATAATAGGAAATAATCCTTCTGAGTATATGGTTTTGTATTTAGGAAGTGGGAAGGGGGAACAGTATTATTACCTTCTTTTGGAAGTGTTTTAGAAGGCTTTGCACTTAGTTTTGTTTCTGGACTAAGTGGTTTTGTATTTTTACTAATTCTCAGTTTTTAAATGATTCTTCTCAGACCAGTACTCCCGTTTGGCTCATTTTCTGGTTTAATAAGTGCTTCTTTTAGTGTATATTTTTTAAGATTTCTGGTTATTACAAGTTCTTGTGCTTATGCATGCTGTGATAGGTGCTATGTACATTAATAAGAAAAATAACACAAATTATCCAGGAGGCTAAGAATTAAAGCTCTGTATAAGATTTTCTGTATAAGATTGTATTAAAGTGTTTTAGATTTATATGCCTACTTTTTTGGCATAGTTCTGCTCCAGGGTCTTAGGTTTTCTTTCCTCTATATACTTCCAGGGTATCAACTATTAAAAAAGAAAGCATTACTAATATATTTTCCCTGATGGTGGGCTTTTAGCTTATAAAACATATGTAACTGAAAGACTTGTATGTTCTAGAATTTAGTGCTTATAAGCCAAATAATCCAGGTATTAATTTATTTTGATCTGCAGTGAAGGTTTCCAAACAAACCTTAGTATTTTTCTAATAATGGACTATTCCAGGGTTCTAGAAAATTAGCAGGTTAATTCTCCAAAACTATAGTGAAGATTCACATGGAAATCTTTGGATTTACCTACTAAATTGAATAGTCATCCTTTTTTGTTTCCTCATGGCAATTTAAACATCTTTGTAATTCATTCCAGCTTGAATATGATTACACTTGACCTAGATGACATTGATTTCATAAATAAAACCTTTATCTCTCGGGGAAGAATTCCAGTTCCCTCGTTATTTGCTGTAGTGTGTTGTAATTATCTTATGATACTGTGTCTTCATTAAGAAATATGAATTTCTAGCACATTTCCTATGTAAGCCTAGTTGCTGTAGGTAACTACATTTTATCTTTTCTTTCTTTCTTTTTTTTAATGTAAGAAGAAACAAACATATTCTCCTTAGTATTCAGACCAAGTCCTTCAAAGCTGCTTGGACATTGGGCTAAATCAGAGTCCTCACTGAATACATTACTGTTGATTTTTGGATTCATGCCTTTACCTAAGGGCTTTCCGTGTCAGCAGAGAAATGGAAGAGACTTTTTGTCCTATTCCAATTAAAACAAAAAGCATAAGCCCAAACTGGTTTTCAGAACAGATGAGGTTTTTTTTTTTTTCCTAAAGTTAATCCAAAAAATACTATAAAAACTTCAAGGATAATTAATAGATCAAATATGAAAGGGTGAAAAATTGTTAACCCTACTAAAATTCTAGCCAATACAGCTAAGAAAAGGTAGGTTTTTATATACAAAAAGCATATAGATTATTCACGCCTCTTGTTTTCCCATCTGTGTTTGAGTGCATGATATCCCTAATAAGAAATATTTAAGATATTGTGAGGTACTATTAAATTTAGTCATTCTTTTTAAAAAAAACATCACAATATAATCTTGGGTCATTCTATTTTGTTCTCTAAAGTAGTAGTGTAGTTCTGCTGCTAAATTAGTAGATATATTCCTTCGTTACAAAATTGCATAAACCAAGACATTTTGATACATGGAATTTTAAGACATCTCGGACTGGAGGACCTCCTTTGAAACTAAAATAATTGAATGTAAATATACTAGGCAAATGTAGAGTTTCCATTCACTAAAAAGGCGGTTAATAAATGGCACAGGCTTAAACGTAAACTGTTTAAAATATTAAACCACATAGTGCTAACACAATTTCAGGGCTATAGGATATGAGAAATTACAAGGTAGGAGGACAAAATGCTACCTAGAAATGGTCTCCCCCAGTCTTTTCTATAACCAAAACTGTCCAGAGAAGTTTTTGGTCTCTCTTTATGGCTTTGGATAAAAGCAGAAATATGAGAAATCATCTCTCAAACCTGGATTTTAAATACTTTATGATATTTAAGATATAGGAACAACTAAATGTGTACATTATCTGTAGAATTAGAATAAAAGCATTTTAGGCCATGTATATAGCATAACTGTGTGGTGGGTTTTTTTTTTCCATTAATGGATGGTATCTGTAACTAATCACATTTTCTGCCTTATAGGCCTGCCTCGTCCCCTCAGCTTTCACACGATGATACTCATTCACGCATTGAGCATTATGCTAGCAGGTATGAGACTAGTTGAATGCCAGGCAAATATTGATTGAAATAACTAACCAAGGAAAGCTAACCTATAATAATTTAAAACAAATCTTTTCTTTTTTCCCGATCTTGTCTGATTTCTACTAATCAACTTGCCCTCTAACGTGCATGCCATTCCACTGCATGTTGTTTTTGGACACCAATAAGAGCATTAGTCCAGAACAATCTTCCCTAACCTTGGCCTTTAAACATTTCCAGTAGCCTTGTTATGTTTTTTCGTACTGAGCACATTTGCAAAATTGCCTTACGAATTGTTTAATCTCCTTAGAAAACTGCTAGACTAGATAATTAATATATGAAGAAATGATACTGTGTTATGTGAAGACTATGAAAGCACCAGCTTTTCATTTGTGTTTATTTTGATATACTGTAAAGAAGAAAATAATTAATTTTCCTAATCTTTGGACCTTTCTGTCCCACCTTCTTTGTGTTTGAGATAATTTTTATATCTGAAAACTGAATTACTAATTATAAAGTATCTTATGCTTGTGAAATAAATCTGTAAGAGTTTGGTTAACTTTTTTTGAAGTTGTAAAAAATATTATTGTCTGAGGTGAAGGAGATTTTTAAAGGTAAAAATTGGTGGCAGAATGTTTAGGGAGCTTACTGTACATCCATCCTTTATCAATAGTCTAACTACTGGACATGCTTATCAGTCGTGGAAAACATTAGCATAAGCCTGCAATCAGTGGAAAGCATTAACTGTCTTAAAAGACAAGGAGTAGTGAGGGTAAGGTAGGGAGTGCATTTATCTTTAGGGAAGCTTTTCTTTCCAAAACAAAGACCTGTTCTCAGTGAAAGCAAGATCGATCTGTGGGGGAAAAAAACAACTAAATACAACTTCCCTTAGAATTTATATCATAAATGTAAAGCTACTGACTAGTTGTGGTCTACCACACACTGCCTCAAATGGTTAAGCCAACACACACATCCTTTAATTTGAAGGATTCCTTTCTCTTCTTGCCGTGATTTATCCTTTAGTTTTCAGGAATGTTCGATTAGGTCTTGAATAGATTCTAAGAAGTCACATAAGTTTTAATGAGCTTTTACGTTTTTTATCAGGCTAGCAGAAATGGAAAACAGCAATGGATCTTATCTAAATGATAGCATCTCTCCTAATGAGAGCATGTAAGTATCCCATCTCTTTTTACAAAATGTTCCTGACAATGAAATTGCTTTGAGGGATTTAGAGGTAGGATAGCACAGGATACAGGAATCAGCATCGTATTCATTTGATTTTTCAAGGAGCCATTCATTTACTTTTTTTCTTTAACTCTTAACAGTCTGGCACGGAATGAGCTCCTCCAAATTTTGCCATTATTGGTATTCCAGAGTAGCAAAAGTAGTTGGCTTTATTCTTATTTAAACTTATTTCACATCATATTATTTCAATTTGCGAAGTCCCGAATACTTATATTAAATGCCTATTCTTTGACCAAATCTGCCAGATATTTCAAGGGGTAGGCTATTAATTTTAAAGTGATGGCTAAGTAGTATTTTCTCCACTCATGATGAGTGGAAATATGATCTTGATATAGCATCGCTATTTCCATATGGTAGGTTAGTTGGGCTTTTTCCTTTAGAAATCCAAAGTAGTAGATTTTTATGATTTAGCATCTTCACAAGGTAAATAAAGTGAGGCAATCTTGTGAAGGGTTTCCAGAGGAGGGAGTACAAATTCAGTTTGTTAGTCGGATGATAAGCCATCCCTGTTAAACTTTAAGGAAGGAGGTAGAGTGGTGCTCAAAGTGGCAGAGAACAGAGCTATGGCAGGGAGACAGGCTTCATTATAGAGTAGGGGCACAGAGGAACATTGCTGTGAACCAAATATCTGCCAACTGAATAAATTAATAGAGAAGAAATCTAATCAAAGTACAGTGATGAATTTAGTTTGCCGAGTTATGGATATCTTACCCATCTTGTCATGGAGAATCTAGGGAAAAGGAAGAATGGTAAATTTATCATATGTAGTTGGTGTGGCAACCCAAAGTTATGCTCAGATAAGAAAAGGGCCTCTATGAGGGTTAGGCTGAGGGAAATAGTATCAAAGTGGCATTTATATATATTTATATATAACTAGTTACCGAAGACATGAGAATAAATCTCACCTGGTACATAAAGGCGATCAAGGTAATAATAAAGAATCAAGTCAATATTCAGTCATTTGTAAATGACTTAGTTACTTCAAACCAACAAACAAAAAACCCCACACCCTTTTCCCAAACATAACTGTGATATATTCTCTTCCTTAGGTATGAGAAAAACTATTAATGGTATTAATATATAAAATGCTTTGACAAGAAAATGTGTGACCAAAGAATCAACCAAATGTACATGGCTTGAATGATTTGCTTCTTTGGCTCACTGATTTTGATATTAGAAGCTCTAGCACATTCAAATTAATTCAAGTTGTATCTATCTATATAACAGTGGTTGTCATTCATTGACTGCCTAAGAGAATAGTAAGGAAAGTATAATTACAACTATTTGTTATCATTAAACATGGGAAGTTCTAGCAATAAAATTTCAGAATTTGGTAAGAGGCATAATGTATTAGATAGGTGGTAAAACTGCTTTTATTTCATTTAAAAATGAAATTTAGCTTTAGCTCATTCTGAGGACATAAAATCCATTTTGACTTAGTGATGGATGGTAAAAATCATGGTATTTTAGGGATAGGTTTGGGGAAGTGGTTTGGTGGATTGGTTAACTTAAGTGTTTGTTTTTAAGCCTAATAATTATTTTTAGTCAGCTTTTCACATCTCAACCATCTGGCTTGATGGACCAAAATAATAATATAAACCAGGAGGACTTTTTTCTAAATATTTGATTTTTTCCAACTTAAAATTAAGTGGGTATACATAAGGAGAAATATTAAAAAGTATCATCTTAATGATATCTAACCAGAAACAAAGAGCTTTAGCCTCTTGTTAAGAACAAAATGAAATTCTTATTATAACTTGGGGGTAAATAGGGCTTTTAGGAGTTTGGAGCAATGTATTCAGAAAAGTTTCTCTTGTATATTAGAGAGTTCCTAGTTTCCAGGAAAGATTGCAGCTGCCTTCCAAAATATAAGCCTTTTTGCCTCCTTCCCCCTCAGATTAATCCTTAAAACTATTATGTATCAATAAAAAAATAAAAATAACTAAAACATGAAATGTTAAAAAAAAAAACCTCTGAGGAATGAGTGTTTGGTCGGTCAGTCACCTTAATGGCTTTTTTCTCAATTTTTGTTTTTCTATCTAAAAAATAATTGAACAAAACTCTCATTTATCTACAGTTTAATTATTGTGATCATCTTGCCTCCATGACTTTTATAAGTTAGAACTGGCTTACTGAAGCCACACTTTTTGGTTGCATTGCCTTGTACTTAAGACAATATTTACTGTATTATTTTAAGGGCTGCAGCTTTTTTCCTAGTCAGTATCAACAGGAGCATGGCTGAGTGAACACATTATGTCAACAGGCTTGGTAGCCAAAGCATTATACCATTATTATGTCTTTTAATATTTATTAATTATTAGCTAACTGTTGACATAGAGTCCCAGCATTTTTGTAGTTCTGCCTTTCATTTATCCATGTAAATAGGCCAATCAATTTCATTCGAAAATTTGAGCAAGAAGCACTTTGAATTGTCACCCGGTAGGATGGTAGACCACAACCTCAACAGTAGCAAAAGGTCTTTAGAAGCAGGAAAAAAGGTCTAATTAATTGTTAAGAGCAAAAAAATGTTTCTATTTTCAAATACACACCCGAGTCCCTGCCTCCCAAAGCAAAATAAGGGGGGGGAAAAACCAAAACCTTTGATTTTATTTTCCAGAGATGATGAACATTTGTTAATCCAGCATTACTGCCAAAGTTTGAACCAGGACTCCCCCCTGAGCCAGCCTCGTAGTCCTGCCCAGATCTTGATTTCCTTAGAGAGTGAGGAAAGAGGGGAGCTAGAGAGAATCCTAGCAGATCTTGAGGAAGAAAACAGGTGAGTTTTCTTTCTAGTTTGTAATTGGTATGCAGAGTGCATACACTTGCACACATAGAAGAGTGTCAGGAATCTTCACTTAGAGTCATTCTATGTCTAATTGTTTTCTAAAATAATCTGTTTAGCTCCATTTGCAGATTCTCTTTTTTTTTTGTTATCGGAAAGAAGAAAATGAATGCAATAGTATGATTAAGAACTCATATTTTAGGTGTGAAGGAATTAATGCTGATGGTGGTGTTTGATTTGTTGCATGTGTCTCCAAGGCTTTGATTTTATATTTGAGAATAGAATTTAAGAAAAAAACAGGTTATTTAACTTTATGATTATATAATTTTTACATGTGTTTGGCCATATTATTTATCACTAACATTTAAGATAGTAGGTTCACTGGCTTGGTCATATTTGGGAACAAATTATTTCATCTTATTTTTCATCATCAAGTGCAGAAATCATCACTTATGCTCACCATCATAGCGGATCAGTGAGACAGTTCCAATTGTCAGCTATCACCTGCAAAAGATGTTCGTGTAAAAATAATAGAAATAGTAGAAGAGGAAAAAGACTAAATAAATCTCACAATGACTGCAGAGAGGACAAAGATGTAAAAATCTGGGGTATTGTGCGGTGTCAGGGTAATGCAAATCATTGGACTTTTACTTTTGTATTACATTTATCACATCACAGATCCCTTGGTTTAAAAAGCCTTTGCACATGATCTCTTCTAACTCGTAGTGTTCCTTCTTCAGACACATGCCACCAGGCAAGTCTTTAGAGTTGCTCAAATTTGCAGGACTTGAGTACTTTCATCTCTTTGGTTTAGCCCAAGGCACCAAGACCTCTTAATCTAGGCAACAGAGTGTGTCTGAGACCAGTGCCCTCAGGGAGTATGTCATCTCAAGATGAAAAAGCAAACTGCCATTCATCCATTGCTTCCTGCTGCCACTGCCTGCCTTCTAGCTCTTAACACCTCTCACCTGTAGCCAGTAGCTCCTTATCTGGTTGGCTCCCCTTTAGTCTCTTTCCTACCCCTCCAATAAATCCTTCATACTAACTCTAGTTGCGCATCTTTCTAGAACCAAGTCCCATCAAGGCATTTGCCCTTCAATGGATTTCTGCATGTAGAAAAAAATCTAGCTTCTCAGCTGGGTATTTAAAACCTTCCACAGTTTTCTCTTGACCTGCTTTTTCAACTTCATCTCCTTTTGTACTCCCTGTGTTCTGGCCATGCTGTTGTAGCTAGTATTTCTGAATATATCCTGCTCTCCTCTACTTTCTGGGTCAAGCTCAAGCTTGCTTCTCAGCCTAGCTGCTAACCCCCACACCTCCACTGCCATATCTGACAAAGGAGTCCTACCCATCCTCTGTGACATTGCTCAAAATAACTTTCCCCACAGAACCCTGCTAGATCCCTGCAGTTGGAAGAAATCTATCTTTTCTTTTGCCTATATTCACAGAATATTTTGGACCTTTCTCAGAGAACTCCTTGACAGTTTGCCTTTTTATCAGTTATTACCAGTGCCTCCCTCTAATGAGATAGTGAGTGCCTTTGGGGCAAGGACTATGTCATAATCATCTTCGTGTCCCCTGTAGTACTTAGCACAGTGTAAGTATTTAATGAGTACTCAGGAAATGTTTGGTGAAAACCTGAGAATACAGCAATAATATCACAGGAGTACCATCTAGGAGATAATATTGAACTTTTTTTTTTTGTTTTAATGATAAATTTATTTTTGGCCTTATTTTTAAGATCCTTTGGCAATGAAGACCATGGTAGATAAAACATTTTCCTCTACATTATTGAGAATAATCAGTAGTATCCATTTATATTAAATCCTTAATTATTGTAGGGGTCAAAGTCAAATCAGAAGAAAAAGTTGCAGTTGAAACTGTAAATAGAATTTGATGTTACTGTGGAATAAATATATTTTTGTAGTATATGATTGTTACCATTGTATAATATATATTTTTAGCCCACTGGTCAAGAGTTCTATCTTGTTTGTTGGTTGCATACTCTCCCTCCATATCATGGCAACTAGATCAAAGAATATTGCTAAAGAGTATTGATAACTATCATTTTTATATCATTCTGTCATTTTTCGCTCACTTTAATATATTGTAGGTCATTTAATCTTCCTAAAAGCTCTGTCAAGAAGAGCTTTTCTTCTTTCTGTGAATGAGAGATGTAGGCTCAGAGAGGTTCAAATAGCTTGCTCCAGATCTCAGTCAGCCACTGGTAGAACGAAATTCAAATCCAGATATTTCTGACTGTAATAGCCTACTGTACCTTGGACCAGAGAATAAAGAAGAGTCATTCTATGTGAATGTCATTTACATAGAATCGTGGCATATTCCCCAGAATGTGCCTTAACTTGAGGGAATACCTGTAAGGACTAAGTGTCCCTGTATAAACCAGTTCATCTGCTTGTAGTACAGTGATAAGACAGGATGATCTCTCTCCACCATGGATGGAAAGCCATTGCAAAGATCAAGTAGGGGAGATATGACCAGATTTGTGTTTGAAAAGCTCACTCCAGTACTGACGCAGGGACTGTGCCAAAACGCATCAGGTTGTACAGAGGCCAAGCTTGTTTTCAGATTGGAGGCCGAGAGAGAAGGTGTAAGACCTTCCATCTTACAGGAATCTTTGCCTTCTACCAACTTTAGGCCAGAATCATATTGCTCACTGTGAAAAGCTGTTGTAAGTCTTAGAGGACAAAGGGTAGATAGAAGATGTTATATAAAATAAGTATAAAAATCAACTCAGGACAAAATTAAAGAGAGTTTCAGAAAATAAAAATAGATGCCATTTCAGAGTTAATGTCATAAAGTCTGTTAGTGAAAACTCAGCACTTGTCCTTGAGACCGCATCAGAAGAATGAGAACAAGTGTTTTGGGGAGGAGGAAAGATAATTTTTATTACTTTGCCTGCAAAGGAGGGAAAATGGCAGACCTTCTTGTCTCAAAATCCAGATTTCCTGAACATAGGCAGAAATACAGAGCTTTTAAAGGGAGGGCCCCTCAGTTCTAGGCTATTGTGGTTAACTATTCTAATCATCCCATCTCTGCCAAAGACAAAGCCTGTGAACTCTGCCAGCCCCCCACCTTGGGGGGCTGGGCTGGCACCAGTCTGGGATAAGAACAAGAGGCCTTCCCTCTGCTCCTCCCAACCACTGGCCTGAGGCAGGGATGCAGTTCTCAAAAAGAGTGGGAGAAGTTTTAAAGAGACAGAAAATTTTTTTCCCGTTTCCCTCCCGCCTCTAGGCCCTTCCCTCTGTTACAAGTCTTTAGATCTATATTGTTGCATTTGCAGTTCTGTTTCTATTTTGTTTCATCAGGAAGATTTTTGGTTTGTTTTCTTTTCTTTTTTTTTTTTTTTTGTCTATTGTTTCCTTAATGTAGCTAGTATGATCTCAGTTCTGCTTGGGCAAAAGCCTTAACTTCTTGGAAGGAACTTCAGTCTTTTCCTTCAGCTCTAAAATATCATGATCCTCTGACAAACAGAGATTCTGTAAGTGACATACACATTTATATCAGACAGTGAATGCTTGCCAAATACAAGCTCTGGGAATTTATAGAGTCCAACTTCAGAGAGCAAATAACAGGACAGGCCTTCTAGCCTACAAGTTCCTTAAACATAAACTGTCTGGGCTTCAGGAGTCTGGCAGAGGGGAGAAGATGAATTTTAAAGCAAATAATCCTAGCAACTTGTCCCATATTTGCAAAGATAAGGAGTAATGGGACCGTGATCAGACTCCCAAAATTTTTAAAGGACAAAAAACTGGAATCAGGTAATCACCTCCTATACAGAAGATATCCAAGACCATTCCCCAAGAATGGAATGGTTTGTTCTCTGAAAGAAAGAAAAATGTTACACCAGAGCTTTTTAGAGCTCCAAAATGAGGACTCTGGTGTTGATGCAAGTCTTTCTGTAAGTTATCTTGACCTTCAAGAGAAGGTCAGGATGAGCTTCCTTCTTTTTCCCTCCACTTTGTCACATTTTGACCTCCTGCCAAATCCCAAAGAAATGTCTCTACAGAGCTCCCATCTTGAAAGCAGCCTGTGTGGTTTTCTTTGCTCTGTCCTCTCCTGTCTTCTTTGCATTTCTGCACAAGGAGCTTCAGAGCCATAGCTTTGCCTTCAGGACCCTTGGATTCAAAGTTGCTTAAGGGGACTTTAACTTGCCATTTCCTGTCCTTCCCCTGAGAAAACCCAGGAAGTCATTAGATGCCCTCTGTCTGCACCTGCCAAGTCAAAGTTGGGCTTTGTAACCTGACAAATACTAGCATACTTTTAGAGAAAATGGGGAAGGATATTTAAAATTGAGAATGTCTCAAGTCCTTTGGATATGTGTTTACTACAGCTATGTGTATTTTGTGTTACTTTATTCTGTAGCTATGACTTATCTCCAAATAACAGCAAAGGAAAGAGGCTTGGAGACCCCCATTCCTGACTAGCTATGTTAATAAATTCTGTTAATTATTCTTTTTCATGATACCTCCCTACAATCCCCTCGGAAAACGGAGGATGGCTATTTTAGAAATGTCTCAGGGGTGTCTTATCTCTGTCTTAGAATTCCATTTTTCCAAATTGTTACTCATAACATTCAATAAATATTTGTTGAATAAATGAAACGAAGCTGAATTTATTTTAATTGTAGCACCCATGTGTGTACTTTTGACTAAAATTCTTTAAAAGACCTAATTTTGTAGAGAAAAGCCTTTCAAGGGCTTTTTTTTTCTGCTCACTATTTAAAATACTTCCCTTTTTCAGATTGCCTTGATTAGCACCAAGCATCACTTTGTCATAAATTTAGAATGTTAGGAATTCATTTTCCAAATCCCAAGCACTATATGTCTCTCCCATTGGCATTCTCTGATTCTTAGTTTATGCCACAAGGATAAGGCTAAAGGTCTGAGCAAAAGCTAAATCTGATTGGGATTTTCTGACAGTATCTCTCATAAGTTTAGATGACTAATGAAATTAGTGAGCTATCCAATCTT